AGACGGACACACATTTGTATTTACTTCTGTTCCTCTCAGCAGAGACGAGGGGAATTCGAGCGAGCCGTTGAGCAATCCTGATAAACGTTTGGCTGCGTCTTATCAGCTTGTATTGTGCCAGCAATTAGGAAAACAAAAAAAGGAAAACAAATACTGACTACTTTGCTGTCCAGACATTCAGAAAATACTTTGAATATTACAAAAGTCGAAGAGAGACAAAGGCAGCCTCTCTTATTTCAGAATTATAGGCCACATGAGGAAACACTCTGCAGTTGCATAACGGATCTGGTTTAGTTTTATTTTGTTCATTCTTCACAAAAAAAAAAAATCATTATTTTGCCAGTTTGTATTTGTTTCCTGCTTTTTATTGCAGGACAATAACACATGTAACAGAAGCGTGTTTTAAATCTACTACTGTTATCCGGAAATGAAGCCTTTTAGACTGCTAATATCACTTTAATTCAACTTTATTAGTGTTAGTTTGAGGGTGTTGATAGTGTTTTCTCACATGGAAATCCAATTTTATTGACTTTAATTGGGTTTAGTTAGCTGCAGCTTTAAATAATCTTTTTTTAAACTGAGGGTATAACTCAATTAATGACAACTAACAATCAAATATTCACAATAAAAGCATTTAAAGCCAAAGTATTGTCATAAACGTCAGATGAAAGGCTACCTGTGGACAAGCCTCCGCCAAAAAAAACAGAGATAAAAGGAGAGCCTTGGAAGTGGGAGTCTGCAAATCAAGTAAACTCTGGTGCCACAGCTCTGTGGACGTTCAGCCGGAGACAGGAAAGAGACGACAGACAGGCAGAGAGCGGCAGCAGTACAGAGTGTGACAAAGGATATGAGCTGGATACACAGCAGCAGCAACAGCACGGCGAGCCCACGGTCTGCACGTTTGCCCGCTGAGGCAGCAGCAGGGCAGCCGCAGGAAGTTTGGACGTGTGGTTTGTTTTCAGTCAGAGCAGCGAGCCTGAGACGGACTCAGCTGCTGGGAAATGACCGAGAACAGAATCGGGGAACAGAGAGGGTTTCGGGCGGAGCGGAGTTAAAGAAAGGTGGATTCTCGCTGCTCTGACTTCACACGAGTTCATGTCGCAACGCTAAGCTTGGCTAGTCTGAGAGGATGCAGGGAATTATAAAGGTATTACTGGTGGAGTTTCAGCAACATGTCAGTGCTCCATCATTTAGTTAGCTCAGGAGCTCATTTAGCATTTTAACATGCTAATGTTTAGCCTGCAACAGTTTAATAGTAGTTCATTAACATATACACTTTAATACTCACTAAAATCTAAGGTGGTGAGCCATTAAAGCTGCTTCCCTGCCATCAGGAGGGTTCAGCGTCTTGCCCAAAGGCTCTCCGTCAACAGGAGGTGCGGGGGATTGAACCACCAACCCTGCAGGTAGTGCCGCTCTACCAGCTGAGCAGGTTGTTGTCGGTCTACCTACACAAACACCTGGCCGTGCTAAAAGCTTTGGATCAATTATTCCACCAAACGTCACCTGTTGCTCGGACAAAAAAGATGCAAAAGTAATTTGAGGACATTAAGATGTGAACAGTTACATGCAAGTATTCAGGATATAATGATTTAAATGTTTATCATTTAGAATAGTAGCTGGAAGAGCTTTTTTTTTAATTCAACAAAATTATAAGTTCACAAAAAGCCAGTCTGTTTTGGTGTTTAATGTGCCAATAAGATGAATCTAATCCAAAGGCAAGCAACAGATTTGGGCCAGCATTCGATGCAAACACAAGTCTGGACACATTAGTTTTGCATCTTTCTTTTTCCAAGTAACAGATGCATTGTTATGTTTTTGTGCAATTAGACGGCATCAGTGTTCTTAATCGTACATCAAATGAAGTTTTTTGTTGAATTCAGAGAATGCTTTAATGGGACAATCCCAGAAACAACCTGGAGGAGGATTCAGAGGAGTGTTTTAGATCCTGCTGTGGTTTTATATCATCTTGTTCACCATCACTTCACCATTCAGGGAATTTTAAATTGTAAAACTCTCTATGCTGCCAGCAATGTGGACATCAAGTAAAAGCACCTAATAACAGCAGGAACAAATCACTTTCCCATAAAAAACTCAACATGTCATGAAGCCAATCTGCGCCTGTCCAATCAGAGACATTAACTAACCTTTGACCCGCGTGGCTATTCTTAGTTGCCCCACATTGTTGCCCTCCGATTCACACGCAGATCTGCTGCGTCGCTATCACACAATAAGGGTCAATCAGGATCAGCTAACCGCTAACACACAATACAAGTCAGCAGCGAGGGTTAATGACTTTCAACCTGGCAGCTCGACTCGTGGTCCCAACTACAAAAGCCACTTTTACTTGTGTTTTCATAAGATATTGGAGCATAATAAGTGTGAGTCGAGCAGAGCCATTGTGTGGTTTATCTGCAGTGTAATATTTTGTCTGGTAATCAGCGAATATTACGGCACTATTGTTGACGTGACCGGCCCGCTCCGACTAATGTTTGTGTTCTTTAGACTACTATTTTTAATTATTTCATGCAGCTCCAGAAGGCCGAACGCTCACCCTCTCGGGCACTTAGGAAAACACGAGGTTTGATTTCAGTGAAAACAAACACTTTCAAACTAAATATTTAAAACCACATGAACACAGATTTGCTTGAAACTGAGATTTAAGCTGATAAAACAAACTGAAAGTGCTTCAAGTGGCTGTTTTTGGATGTTTGAAACCGGAGACAGTTAAGGATGCTGCAGCTCGAGTCTTTTTCACACAAGAGCACACTTTCACTGGTTTTCCATGTGAGCAGCAGCTGTTTAGTCCACATGGGAGGCAACTTATCATACAATGAGGCACATGAAAATGCTATAAAACAGGCCGGAGCATTATCCGAGCGTAATGAATGTGCGTATTCATGTGGTTTTGTCTACAGTGGAGCAGCGGGGTTGAGACACTCACACAAACACAGAGGGGGTACAAAGGTAGTTTTTGTTCCCCCATGTCGCTGGAACTTCAGCTCTGCTTGGTCATCATGGATAAATGCCCCTCTTATCGGGCAGAGAAACACACACTCTCAAACGCACACACACGTTTGCGAGGCTCTGCAGTTGTACGACTTCACCGGAAAATCACATTAAAGATATATTACATCCTAAACGGGGCAAAGAACACATAAGCACTTTAAAAATCAAGTTAGGAAACGGCACTGGGGGGCTCCTACGGTTTGGATTTGAGATAGAAAATGTGTGTGTGTGCATGTGTGTGTTCATCATCTATGGCAGCTGCCTGCACTGATAGTTGCTTTGTTTTCAGTGAGTGCTCCTTAATGAGGTCAAAGGCTATTTAGGGCCACTGGACGCTGACGAGGAGAAACAAGAGGTACCTTCATCTCGGCCCGAACACACACATACACACACACTGAGGCACTCACAGCTATTCATTACATTTGACCAAGACAAGGTCCAAAAATCAGCGGCTGCAGAAAGAGGCTCTTTGTGTGTGAGCGAGTGTAGGAGCAGGACAGACAGACTGATTTCTATTTGCAGAGAGGACGGCTCGATTTGATTTAGCAGTTAGCGTAATGAAGAAATGAGTCCTGTCTGTTACTAAAATAAACTCCAGGGACGCTTTGCTTCCTCGCTAACGTAAATGCAACGTGCGTTTGCTCACATTTTTGTTTGTTTGCATCCTCACTTTGACCTAATTAACCAGATCGAGTTGGTACGTTCACTTAGTCTGGGAATAAACGAATCATCAAACTGCAGAGTCACAGAAAACTGCAGTGCTAATCTTTATTTTGGAGAATCATAAACCTAAAAATATTGCCAGGTAAGCATAACTACTTATTATATGATACAATACAACAAACATTTATATTGTTTTAACAACATAATTATATGCTCTCATCAGACCAAATTCTCATTGGTTGGATAATTTCCAGTGTTCATCAACAGCCCTCCAGTAATATTCTGTTATTTCTGGCAGCAGGATGAAACAGACAAACTAAACGGACCTCGTCGAGGATGCTGGGTTCAACTTAATTATCGTTAAGTTTAATGAAGGTTTAATCGGCTCCAAACTAACTGACATCGTGTCAAAGAAGTCGACAGCGTGGCTGCATTTTAGTGTCAACAGCAGTTTGTGTATCAACAACCAACACGTCAGATCATCTCCAAACAGCAGACTAACTTGTCTCGGTTACAGTTCTTGTGCTCAGATCATAAGTCGATATCGTTTCTATTTTTTAGAACTCACATGATTATGAGCAGCCGAGACGCCTATTATTAATTTAGTGTAATATTTTGAGGTTAAACTGATTTAATAAGCGGCAAATGCTAGTTTATTGTGTTTATTTATCACCGATTGAGGCTAATAAAAGGTCACTGTGGCCCATTAAGTTATTCAATAGATGTAATTTTTTTTTTCAAGACATGTTGAAATGGTTTCAGTCGACCAAATTTCCTGCTAATATTGAAAACTTTCTCGATAATAAAATAATGTTCTTTTTTTTGAGCACTTGAACAAAACTTTATTGTGACAATAACCTTTTATTCTTCATTCCAACCAAACACAAAAACAACCATTTCCCCCAACTAATGACAACAAAGTCGCCACATACATGAAGGGAAAAAAATCAATAACTAAGCCCTTAAAATTTGGATTTTTCTCTCCTTTAATAACACTTTTGCGCCCGTGTGGCACAAAAAAAACTGACCTTACTGCCCAATGAGATGGAGTGAGAGGAGCCAGTGTTTAATGCAGCAGACAGAGAGGAATTGTCAACACTACCGCCGTCTGACTCACCTGGAGACAAACCCCTTTATTGAGAAGCGGGCGGCCATCTTTGATTAGATGGAGTGACTCAGCAGACAGTGGACACAAGGGGGTGTGTTTGTGTCTTCATGTGTGCGACAGTACAATGAATGAGCACATTTGTGTTCATGTGGGAATATGAAAATGTGTGTGACTGTGGCTTTGAGAGGCAGATTGTGTGTGTGCGTGTGTGTTGCCATACCTCGTGGTCAGGTATTTCAGAAGAAAGAGTCTTTCCCAGCACTGCTGCCGTCAGGTAGGTCCAACAGCGAGCTGTGTTAGCCAGGTTATAACCTCCTGGTGAGAGAGACGGAGACACCGATCAAGAGAGCGCCATTATTTTATGGTCACGTGCTGCATATATGTCTGACAATAGTGCCATGAAATGTCCAAGTTTGTGGGCGACTGTTTTACTTCAATTAAACCTGCCACTTGTGAGGATGAATAAACAGGACGTCTAGGTGAAGACGTGGTTTGAAAGAAGAGATGAAATAAATCAGCTTAATGTGTAACACTGCAAAAAAATATCGGGAGCTACCGTGACAAAATGTTTGAGCAGAGGAGTCACGAACTCTCACAAAAGACAACAGAGAAAGACGAAGAGGATGGACTCGAGAAACACCGAGAGGAGGACAAGAAGCGAGAGAGGAGGATGTAACAGAGAGAGAAAGTATGTAGGACAGAGAGGGAGGGAGAGAAAGGAAGAGAGGTGGGATTGTAGTTGAGTAAAATGGCTTCATTGTGTCGTATAATTAGTAGCTATCATCTGGCCAAGGGCTGAGGAGTCTGGAACAGAGCGCTGTGTGTGTGTGTGTGTGTGTGTGTGTGTGTGTGTGTGTGTGTGTGTGTGTGCGTATAAGCGAGCGACTCACTGAAACTCAACAGCAAATACAAACACACACACACAACAGACGTGCTACACTATCAGCAGTTCATTTGGAGTATTTTAAGTGCACATTCACACATATGGAGACGCGCTAACAAACCTACAAATCAGGCAGAATAACAAACACGCAGCGTACCTCCACCCAGCAGCAGTGTAGGTAGCTGCCACTGCAGGACGTACTGCAGACACTTGCCCACCCCCACCGGGGTCATGTTGAAGGAGCACATGGGGTCGCCCGCCATGGTGTCGGCCCCCAGCTGCATCACCATCGCCTCCGGGTTGAACTGCGCCCGCACTTCCTGCATCACACTGTAAACAAACAAGACGGCCGTAAACACGCTGCTGCCCGCTGATGATGCGTATCCATCAGGAGCCGGCGCCGTCCGATAAAACGCTAAAATGCAGCTGTGGCCTCCATTAACTGAAAATGGACAGTTTAGCTAATCGGAGGAGATGGAAAAGTCATCCGCTGTCAGCTGCACCGAGCACAAGTGAAGGACACGAGTTGGTTTAACGCTAGTTCTGTCAATTCAGATGCTCAGATGGGAGACATTAAGACAGTTAGAGAAGGCAAACTGTGTGTGTCGAGTACATAAAGTTGGTGATGCAAAACACCAAATCCTAAAATATGCTTTTCTGTTTGGTCCTGGTTTGCTGCCAAGTGTTGATTAGAAAATTGGTTGGTGTTTTTTGCAGAGAATATTCAATGAATAACATTCATTTCACTTTAATTTGGCCAAAACTACAGGGATTTCCACATATTCTTCACTATGGGATGCTATCTTCCTGTTTAAATGACTGCAGTTTAAAATTTCACAGCTCTAATGTGCAGCTGTTGGTTAGAAATAATCTGCTGCAATGAGAGTCACTTAAAATAAATATATGAACTTGGATGATTAACAGATTTCCAGCAGCATTCTTCTCTTAGGCAGATGGACTTCCATGTAAAACATTCAAAAGATTTTCTACAGTCTTTAAAATCCTACACCTCTGTGTGTTTCAACAAACATGTTTTTATAGCCAAACAAAACTACATCAAGCTCGGTGTCTCAGCCGATCGCACACAGTTGACGGGATTGCTGCTCGCCTGCTGCCCAGCCTTGTTCTCTTTTGCTCAAATATAGATTTAACGGCTTCATAAACTTCCAAGACAGCAGGGACGCAAACTTCACATTTCAAAACAGCCTTAAAGGTCACGTTTACTGAGGAGCACTGTACAGACGTTTGCTTTTTTGATTGTTCAGTCCCGGGAAAAGCTAGAAAGCCCCGTGTTTATGCCCTCACAATGGAAGGATTTCCCTGCTGAAGCGTCCTTGATAAAACGCTGAAGTCGCATTTGCTCCACTCCTCTATGGATGACCCTGACCTCTCTTGGGGTGATGTGGTCGCGAGAGGGAAGAGAACATAGCATTTCTCCTCAGGGATCCGTAAGGAAAACACATCTTAAAGTTTCCTCCGAGTTCCACGGGGGGATTGCGTTCCATGTGTGTGTGTTTTTGTGATTGTGTGTACCTGGTAAAAACCTGGTAGTATCTGTCGTCCTTGATGCCGTCCTCCAGCGGGACGTTCACAGCGTACCAGCGTCCTTTACCCAGCCCCGTATCACACAGGTCGCCCGTGCCTAAACAAATACACACTTATCTAACACTGCCACACAATCCAAGTTATCACATTAAAAATCCATCTGAAACTTCTCCAAGGACCGACCTGGGAAGAATCCAGGGGAGAACTTGTGCAGAGAGACGGTCATGACTTTGGATGTGAAGCTGAAGGCGTCCTCCACACCTGCAGAGAGAAGATCAATGATGCTTTATGGGGACGTTGTTCTATACGTGCACCTACACTGAAACTACTGTGGGGATCAGACAGACGCAACCTGAAAATAACTGATAAAAAACATAAGTCAAACTGCCCTCTAAAGTCAACACAGTTTTAGTTGTTGTTGTTTATTTGTGTACCATCTCCATGATGTAGGTCAACGTCCACATAGAGGACTCTCTCGTATTTCTCTCTCAGCTTGAGGATCCCCAACACAGCATCGTTCACGTAACAGAAACCCGAAGCCTCGTCCCTGGAAGACACACGGAGAGAAAAGGGCATGGTTGAAACTCTCTGCTTTACCTGCAGCGCCCTCCTCAGGCCATTTCATGCAACTGAAGGTC